CTTGAACTCTAGGTTTGGGTGCTGTCCCTCAGCTCTTCAGCTCAGGGCTGGCACCCTACCATTTGAGCCACAGCCCCACTTCTGACCCTTTTTGCTTTGTTCAGGCGCCGGTCCCCTGGCCTGGTTCCGGCCCCAGCCTGGAGCGCGCTCGTTAGGCCTGTGCTAATGTGTATACCACCTAGGTTATGCAGCCTGGAGGACACGGTTCAAATTTCTTCTACTGTTGGTAGTCTTGACCCAGGGGCGCTGTTCCTGGCTTGGGCATTTAAGCTCCCTTCCAGGGGCACTCTTGCTCTGGCCTGGCCAGCAGAGTGTGCTCCACCGGCTGGTGGAGCTCTCAAACAGTTCCCAGTTTTAGTGGGTCCTGTGGTCAGGGTGTTGGGGTAGGGAGTCTAGGTCAGGGTCTGGGGATTCCCTCCAGCTCTGGTCTCCCTTGAGGGATTCCCTGTCCCCTGATGGGTACTCACCCTGTAGGTCGTCAGTTGTTGTTGCAGTCCGTCAGTTGTTGTTGTAATCCGAGTTCAGTTGGGGTGGTTGCGGGCTGGGTTGGGCAGCCCCCCGCCGGGTAGTTGCAATCACGATTGGGCGGGTGGTCTGCGGACAGGTCCCTTTGTCGTGCTGCTGGTGCCGGGCGGCTTTGGCGGGATGGAGCCTCTCCGCTCCGGTGGAGAGTGAGGGGTGGGGGTGGGATCCTCGTGGAGACTCCCGGCTGGTAGGTTTCTCTGTTCCTTGCGATCCACTGTTCTGCAATCCGGTACCTGGTGATCTGCAAGCAGCCCCCTCTTATTTCACTTTTCAAAAGGCCTATAAGCAGGAGTCTGAGATCTGAGGATAGTGGCTCAAAGCCAGCCCAAGCAGGAAAGCCTGTGAGACTTATCTACCATAAAGTACCAAAAAGCTAGAAATGGAGCTGTGGCTCAGGTGGGGGAGTGCTAGCCTTGAGTGAAGAAGCTCAGGGACAGAACCCAGGCCCTGAGTTCAAGCCCCAAGTTTGGTACAAAAAAAGCCTTTAAAACATAATAGCTACAAAATTAATAAGTATATATTGACATATATTTGTAGGGACAGGATTGAAAGACAGTAAACATTTGGGATTTGGATCCTCTTCCCAACCACCATCACCCTCTGTTGTCTTGGTAGTAAAATCTAGTGACATTTGCCGTTTATTATTACATTCATGATGCTCATATTTTTCTAGTTGGTTGAGGAAATTGAAATATTTCTCCCATTTATGTGTTTATCAGAGATGGTGAAATAGGACCTGGCCATGGCTTACACCATGCTTTGGGCTTATAATCCTGGCTGCTTGAGGGATAGAGATCAGAAGGATTGTAGTTTGAGGCTAGTTTAGACAAAAAGTTAGTGAGACTCCATCTCAACAAACAAGCTGGCCATGGTGATACAGGCCTGTCAGGTATTTGGGAGGCAGAGATCAGGAGGATCAAGGTTTGAGTCTAGCCCAAGTGAAATATTAGGGAGACCTGTCTTAACCAACATCATGATGGCATGCATTTGTCATCACAGCTACGAGGAAAGAATATGAAGCTAGAAAGGTTGTGTTTCAGGCTGCCTAGGCAAAAATATCAAGATCCTGTTTGAAAGATAACTAAGCAAAGAAGGCTGGGAGGCCTGGCTCAAGTGATAGAGCACCTACCCAGCAAGTATGAGGCCCTGAGTTCATGCCCAGTACCATAAAACAAAAAAAAAAGGAAAAAAAACCCAAGAGATTTTCCTTTACTTTTTAGACAGCTATAAGTTAAAAAAAAAAAAGAGGAAGTAGGGTTGGGAAGGTGGTTCAGTGCCTTGCATGCATGAGGCCCTCTGGGTTCGATTCCTCAGCACCACATAAGCAGAAAAAAAGCTGGAAGTGGTGCTGTGGCTCAAGTGGTAGAGTGCTAGCCTTGAGTTAAAGAGCTGAGGGACAGTGCCCAGGCCCAGAGTTCAGGCCCCACGACTGGATTAAAAAAAAAAAAAAAAGAGGAAGTAGCCAGTCACCAGTGGCTCACACCTGTAATCCTAGCTACTCAGGAGGCTGAGATCTGAGGATCGTGGTTCAAAGCTAGCCCAGGCAGGAAAGTCTGTGAGACTTTTATTTCCAATAAACACTAGAAAACCAGAAGTGGTGCTGTGCTCAAGCAGTAGAGCGCTTGCCTTGAGCTGAAGAGTGCAGGGACAGCGCCCAAGCCCAGAGTTCAAGTCCCATTTCTGACCCCCCCCCCACCAAAAAAAGAGAAAGTATACCTTTCTTTGTAGAAAGGAAGAATTGCCAGATAAATGCTTTTTTTCCACCTGAGCCAGTGTCTAGTTATGCATGTGTAGTTAATATATGAAGCATTTCTGTGTTCACGGAATGTAAGATACCGCTATGAAACTAAATTTTGGGAGGATGCTGTTCTCATTGTCTTTTTGGTCTCAATAAACATTGAATTTGTGTTTTTAGTTTGTTTCCCATGTGTTAGTTTAGTTGTTTAGGAGGCAAGATTTTAACCAGTTGCGATCACTTGGCACATATCACTGCATAGCAAATACTTCATTAATTTCTAATGAGGTTTCACTATTCAATTTTGTGTACATATCACAAGGAGAAAAATTCAGACTGAAAAGTTATAAACTAGATTTGCCTTTTATTTTTAAAATAAGTTGAAGCAGCTTAAGAGAAATGGCACTATCATGAACGTTTTCCATAAGACTGTTATTATATATGGTTACAGTTCTTTTAAGAGAGAATTATTTGAAACCTCATTACTAAAGAAAAATAAGAGAAATTCAGCTATATTTTGCTATTTGGAGGCCATCTTGAGAGAGAATTTGTTTCCTAAGCCAACAATTCTGTTGAAATACCATCACCAGATTGGGAAAATGTGCGATGTGACAGTGTCATAAATGGTGCTTAAGATCTGGGCTTAAATCTGAGGATAGGTATTGCTATTCATAACCAGGTGTATTCCATGGTGTTCTCTGGCATGATCTTTTGAATGCCAATAAAACACTGGTCAGGGAGCTCATGAATATTGAGCATGTCTTTCTCTTCTCCCTCAAAAAGTACCTGGATGTACAGTCAGCTTTTTCTGGGTCAAGGCACAAAGGATTTTTATATGATGTTGTTCCACCCATGTTGCAGACTGAACTGAAAGAAATACCTTTCTGAGAACAGAAGCATAGGATTAGCTTGCATTTTATTCACTAAGACTCTGGAGTTTCTTTACTTTTGTCTTTTTTTTTTTTTCCTTTTGAAATCCATTCCTGTCTTGAGTCCTGGAGTGCTGCCTAAAGTTGGGAAACATTAGAACATTCAAAATGGCAGCTGTCTTCTCTTCAGAGGACAGTCCTAGTTTAATTTTCCAGATTGGTTCCTCTATGTCTCTTGGGCCTGTGGCTGATTGATCACACAAGGATTTGTCACATTGCCTGTTTCTTTGAATCAAATGTGGACATAGCAACTAAAAATAAACATGATGTGGATATTAGAGAACCACGGGCCTTCTTTGCCTGGGGAACTAGCTGTTTGCTAAGACATTTTCTGGCTTTAGCATAGCATCAATCATTGGAAGTGCAGCTGTGCTTTTGGAATAGGAGACTGATGAAAGTGCGAAGGCACATGGAGTATTATCCCGAACAATGGCTACAGATGCAAATCATTATGCACAATCCTTAACATTATCCTCGTTTTTTGTGAGTCTTTGTGCAATGTGATTGTGTGTGATTTGCCGTGTTGAGAACTAGAAGTATGCCAATGCGTCATTTTCATTTTTGAAATGTTTTGTCAAAAATTGAAAAGACAAAGTAAATATACCTCACCATGGCATTTCAGCTCTTTGCCGCATTGCAAATGGCTAATGGTTTTGTCATTAGAATCTGGCTAAATGTTTGACTGATCTGACTTGATACTGTTTTCTTCATTATGTTATCAAAAGACAACCAGCGATTGAGTGGGAAAATTCCTTAAAGAATTACATTGTGTAAGAAACTGTTCAGCCTTGGAAGTTTGTCCCCAGAGCTAAGGAACCTAATATAGGGCACTGGTTAAGAACTAGCTTGCTTGGATTCAGCTTGCCCACAGAAAAGCTATGTGATGTTGGAGAAATTATTCAGTTCCTTTGTGTCAATTTCTACATCTGTAAAGATTTGATAATGTTTTTTAAATTAAATTAAAATTTAATTAAAACTTTTGCAAATTTTTTTTTTTGGGTCCGGTCGTGAGGCCTGAACTCTGGGCCTGGGCGCTGCCCCTCAGCTCTTCAGCTCAAGGCTAGCGCTCTACCACTTGAGCCACAGCGCCACTTCCGGCTTTTTTCTTTTTGCTTATGTGGTGCTGAGGAATCGAACCCAGGGCCTCAGGCATGCAAGGCAAGCGCTCTACCACTGAGCCACCTTCCCAGCCCCTGCAAAAAATGTTTGCAGTGATAAAACATTTGAATTCAGGGCTTTGTACTTGCTAGGCAAGCACTCCACTATTTTCACTCCTAACCCTCTTCTTTTAGTTAATTTTCTGATAAGGCATTCGATTTTGACCCTTGTACTTAACATCCCCTGTATAGCTGGGATTATAGACCTGTACCACCATGCTTAGACCCATGATAGTTTTATTATACTTACTTGTGAGGATTCAGTAAGTTAATATTTGCAATTCCTTAACATTGTAACTGGCATACTTAAGTGTGTCTGAGTTTTCATTGTGACTGTTTATCACTTCTTGTATTTATGCAATTCCACGTCCTTTTTCTTTATGCTAAAGGATTAAGTGAGGGATCAGCCTCAAAGCTCAGTTTCTTCTGTGATGATTCAGCAGCAGTGAAAGATGCTACCAGTATAACACCTTTGTGAAACCGTAGCCTTGTAACCCTCATTGTGCCTAAACCGATGTTTAATCTGTATTTAATGCTCTGGAATTTTTTCTCAAAAATGGCCATTGAGTCAGCTTTTGGCCATTGAGCCTCGCCTCCCTTTCTGCAGTTTTTAAATAAAGTCTCACTTGAGCTTTTCTCCTTCTGGTCCTAAAGAATTGCCTCTGCCTCGTTTTATGATGTCAAAGAATGATGGTGAGATACGATTTGGGAACCCAACTGAGCTTCATGGAACGAAGGTTCAGATTCCATATTTAACCGCGGAAAAACTTTCCTTCAAAAGAATGGACGATGAGGAGAAACAGGTAAAATAGCCTGATTAGGCATGTTTGTTTGATCCTGAGTATGAACACTCATGTTCAGCAGGGCCTCACTTCCAGCAAATCTTACCATGTGGAGCACAATTACAGTTTCAGAAATGAGCCAGTTAATTTTCATGGTAGTAAAAAGAGCTGATGCATGGGAATTACCACAAACTACCTGTAGACCTTTCAGAACCTACTTTAATGTAGAATTATATCTAAAACAAGGAAACGGATTCATTTTGTATACTTACATGATGTCTCTAGGATCTTAAAGGGTCCTCTGGTTAACATAGCTTCATATCCTGTTCTTGGGGAGAAGACTAGACCATCAGTCTTAGAAATTTATAGTGCACCTAGGCAGAGAAACCCTACAGTAAAGAGACCTGGCGATCTATGGTTACTAAACTCCTTTCATCAAGGAATCCCTTCTTGGTTCAACATGTTTGGAATGGCATCTTAGGAAATGCTGCTTGTTTGGAATGCCGTGGGTTTGGAAGTAGAAGAGGGAAGAAGGGCTTTTAAGATTAGGCCACTAATTGCAATAGTCAGATGGTGTTTAGTGAAGACAAAAATATGAAATCCTAGAAGAGTAGGCCTCTCAAATAGTTTGCATGTTAATAAGGCCCAGCACATCAAAGAATAGCTCATACTTCTGATAAAGATTCTGAGTCACATAGAAAGTTACATTATATTTGGCACAGCGTCTTCCATAAAGTAAAGAAATTTTCTGTATTTTAGGAAGGCTTGAATCAAAATGTTTTAAAATTCCATGAATATTAAAGGATTATGTAGGGAAACGTACACAGTTCACTCTAATGATGATGGATATCTAAGGTGTTTCTGTATTTTATTTTTATTTTATTTTATGTATTTTATTTTGATTATTTGAGACAGAGCCTTGCTATGTAGCCCAGGCTGGTTGAGATCACATGACTGTAAATGCTAGAATTACAGGCATGTACCACCATACCTAGGTAAAGGGTTATATTTATAGTTAAGGGAGGCATATTATAGCACATTCTGTTAAACAATTGCATGTTCTGTTGCTTTCGTCATCCAGGCACATTTTAAACTAGTGCTTCAGAGGTATATTTTAAATGGAGGTATAGAAATCTCTAGTCAATATGGTTTTGCATGTGTCTCACTAGCATTTGGAGAGGAAGAAGAATCTACTGGCCCACAGTGGTTGATGTACTGGGAAATTATTTCTGGCTGTGTGAAAGAGGGTGCATCCTTTTATTTCTTGCTGGGTCTGTGTTAGGCCCACCAATTCTATAGATGTGAGCACACACTTCGGAGCAAATATAATTTTCTTTCTCTTTAAGAGAGTATTTGATTAGATTGCATAGTTCTCCTTAAAGTAAAGAGGACGACATAGTCTGTGTGTTATGTAAAACACTTTTATGTGGTTACCTCGAAGTTACCACTATTGGTAGTGTTAAAAAATGAGGAGGAAACCCAACAACAGATCAGCTTAGTTACTTTGTCTAGAGTACTATGTCAGGTTCATACTTGAATTGGGAATGCAGCATGTGAAGGATTTGTTCTAGTATTTAGGAGTAGTATGTTCTCAGCACAAATCAAACACAAAAAGCTGGTATTTAATTTCACGTAGTAAACACCAAGAATACTTAGTATTAACTATAGATTTTTATTACATTTATACTTATTAAGTATGAATCTAGGAAGTTGGAGTCTTTATTAATGGGTGAAAACTGAACTGACACAGAGATCACACTTGAGGCATATGAATTTTCATGTGATCAGTGTCTTTTATTTTCCACAGGAAACTATATTATTGGAGTAACTGAAAACATTTCGGGTTGGTTTTCGTAATTTAGGTTAACTCAGTACTGCTGAGACTTTCTTCTCTGGGAGACTTTTGAATTTCTAGACACTGCCTTTTAACTGCACAGTGTGTGTGTGTGTGTGTGTGTGTGTGTGTGTGTGTGTGTGTGTGTGTGTGTGTGTGTGTGTGTGTGTGTGTGTGTGTGTGTGTGTGTGTGTGTGTGTGTGTTTCGGAAATACTTCTCCCCATTTGTTAAATCAGTCAGGTCATCAGCCGTAGGGTTCTGTTATGCTTCCTAACTGCAGCTCAGAATGACAGGCTTCTCCAGTGGTTGTCTCTGAACTCTGCTCTGTTTTTTTGAAGCAGGAAACACAGTCTCCCACGATGTCACCTCTTGCCTCCCCTCCTTCTTCCCCGCCTCATTACCAGAGGGTGCCCTTGAGCCATGGCTACAGCAAACTGCGGAGCAGCACTGAACAGATGCATCCAGGTAAGAGGTGACCTGGGGGCCAGCTGTCCCAGGCAAGGTCTTGGAGTATCCTTAATCTACCAGGCAGCAATG